GAAATACTAGAAAATCCAGAGCACATGCATCTCGCCCCACCCCACCCAGAGTCAGGGAGACTTCCTTGGGGGGATTTCAGGAATCAGATGTTAGAAAATGCCCCTGGCCGCGGATGAATAAGGCTGTCCCTGGCCACAGGTGAGTCTCCCTGAAGCCAGGGAGACAGGCGTTCTAGTGCTCCCTCTCTCACAGTTTAGCAAACCTAGAATTAAGTCTAAATGTTGAGAGAATACGGAAGAAAAAGTTTCCAGTAATTCTGTCTTCGGAAGGGGGGTGGGGCACAGGGGAGACGGTCCTGGAAAGCTTTGGAGGGGTGACCTTGGATGTTTTCAAGTGGCAGAGGGGAGGGCACGCAGGAGCGCGCAGGGACAGGGGCAGCCGCAGGAGCAAAGGGGCCCGGTGGATGAAAGTCCCCAGCATATGATGGGGGTGGCGGGAAGGCTCTGGAGTGCTCACCTACTGAGTTCGGATGGCGTCTGTCTCCGTGGAGTAAAACCATTGCCTGTTCGTTCCACTGGGGGCATTGGGTTCGGAGGCACCGCCCCCTGAACCGGGGCGGAGGTGCAGTTCCGGACTCGGCCAGCAGGCGGGGCCCCGCTCCCATTCTTGCAGCCGCTGTGGTGGCAGTGTGACCTCCCAGGGCGGCGGGCCGGTCGCCGAGGGGAAGAGGAGGGAGGGCGGTCTGGCTTTCTGTCCTGCAGGCTGCGGGCACTCGTTCTCCCAACAGCTCTGAGAGGAGGCCGGGAGAGCCCCATTTCACAGCTGGGGGACTCGAGGCTCTGGGAGAGCACCCCGCCCAAGGCCACACTCTGGCACGTGGTAGAGCAGGGAGTCACACCTGCACCTGATGTTTTGCACTCTGAAGGGCGCAGGGAAGCTCCTGACGTGGGTTGCTGCCCTACCTGTGCCGGGGGTCTGTAAGAGACAGGAGCTTGGGCCCTTTCCGATTTTTCTCCCTCTCCACGTGGCCGGGACACGGGGGCGCAAGAGCACCCGGCTCCGGGGGTCCCATACAGACCAGGTTGGACCACTGGCCACTGACAAAATCCAAAGTGAGAGAGACATTGGTGGTGGGACAAGAAAGGGACTTATTTCAGTGAGGCTGACACCGGGAACACAGGGGACTAGTGTCCTAAAGACTGTCTCCGAAGTGCTGAAAATACCTCCAGGTTTGTATTAGGAGAATGTGGGACACAGGCCGGTGGGTCCGAGCAGGGGGACAGTGAAGGTCAAGTGGGTCACTGTCTTGTCAGTCACGTGGGGTCTTGCTGGGGTCAGGGCCGTCCCTATTGCTTGAGGGGGGAGTTGCGGTTCCCTTGGGGGACGCTGTGCCTGCAGGGTCTTCTGCCTAAGAGGCAAGCTGGAAGGAACTTAGTCAGTTAGAAAGTTTGGGGTCAAGATGGAGGTAGTGCAAGGCCTCTTTACCCCTTCCGTCTCCATCTCTGGTGCCCTTCGCGGGCTCGGCTATCTCCACGCCTAGGGCCTGAAGCACGCACACTGTTGCACCTTAGGCTCCCGTGCCCTGCAAGCGAGATGTGGGAGGAACTCTCAGGAGAGACCCTCTGCTGCCCAGGTCTCCCGGCCGGCCTGCCTGCCTGCCTAGGCCCCCACCCGCCATGCCTCGGCCTTCCTGCACCAGCCAGGCTGCCACTGGGCACGGGAGCCCGTCTGCCCCCCCGCAGCTGTGCCCTCCTACTTACGGCCAAGGCCAAGGCCAAGGCCGCCCTCTCCTGGGCCCATTCCCAGCAGCATTCAGGCTCAGACCGCTCTAGACCTTCTCTTGATTCCATTTCCCCACCAGCTACCTCAGCTTCCTTCCGTTTCTCTGCTCCACTTTGCTGTCCCACTTCTGGAAAGAATGGTCTTATCTTGCTGTCTCAGCTTCCTCTCCTCCGCTCGCTCTTGCATCCACCCCTGGCAGGCTTTTGCCCCAACACTCCATCAAAACCTCGCCTGCTTGAATGGCTAAAATTAACAAGTCAGGAAACGACAGATGTTGGCGGGGATGCGGAGAAAGGGGAACCCTCCTACACTGTTGGTGGGAATGCAAGCTGGTGCA